ACTGCAGTGGGTTTTGTGGGGTTTTGGGATTAGCAGTACAAGCTAGATTTTTAAAAAATCTCTTTTATTTTAGACATAACACAGATCATGATTTTTTTTTCACCCTTACATAAAGCAAAACCATTTTGCTTTTTGTTCTTAATCTTGATCCTATCCAGTTCATCCAGGATCTTACAGCTTTCCAAAGGGATTTCTTCAGATTGAGTTTGTGAATTGCTCAGGTGTATGGAATCAGAAACATCACAGCAGTTGCTGTATTTCAAGTCCTTTTTGGTATCTACCTCTCCAGTGTGGTTTACCAGCATCTTCATGTGTGTATTCAGTGCTGCATGCTCCCTGCTGCTTGATTCACTGTCCTATTTTCTTTTTGCTGTCTGAATTTTCTGACATGAATAAACACTTCACTTAAGACCTCTGGTTTTCTTCCACGTCTGAGTGATGTTATATACAAAATCTATAGATACCAGCCTTTAACTTTCCTCAAAAGAGGCTTTTGAGAGGTTTCCTTGTCCTTAGCTCAGGTGCTTTCCAATTTTTAGCTAGTTGTCGCCCTTTGTGATGTGTTCTAATTGATTCCTGGGTGGCTGGATGTTTGTTTGCTGCATTTGAGATGAAGCTTGAATTTTAAATTAGGTAGATTGTAATCTGAGTTTCTGTCTGGACCTTGCAGTGTTTTTCTTGAATGAGAACTCCAGTTTTCTCCTATTTCTGTGCAATGATCTGATCAATCAACTGATCAGAAGAGCTACATTTCTATTTTCCCATCTTGTGATGGTGAAAGAAAGCATTTGCAAGGACAGAATGAGATTCTCCAAGCAGAGTTCAATGAGTCCATGTCCTCCTTTGTTGATCTCACTCTCTTCCATGGCAGCTTTGATCAGGGACAATTTCTTCATGGGAAATCCCATGTACTCAGCAGTTGTATCAACAAGTCGTGTGTTTGTCTTCAGTTTCACCAGCCTGGGATAATGTTTTTGCAGAGCATTTGCCATCAAATTCTGCTGCTTTTCAAATGACAGTATGAAATTACCCTGTTTAATTTTGTTATTTATACAGGCACTGGTGTTTAAGTGTGTTACATATGGCTATAGGTTTCCTCTGGATATTGTCTGTATGAGATGTAATTGTAAATTATTCAAACTGCCTGCAAAGCCACTTACAAAACTCCCAAACCAACCAATAAAAAGGATTTTCATGGTATAGGAAGAACATTCAAATTCACTTATAATTCAATTTCTTATTTTCTGTGGAATTATTTCTTTATTTCTAGACTGTCACACAAAGTGTCTGTGTTTCCTTAAATTATAGTGGTTCTTGATGACATCGCTGAGAATTGGGTTTATCCCAATACATGAGCAACGTTTAGCAATGTGTTAGTCTGCTCTGAATTCACTTCTACATCTGCCAGTCTGTAGTTACTGGAAAGATTTCTCTCTTTTATTTTTCCTCCTCTTTTCCCCTTGGCTAGTTCAGCATTTTCAACCATTTTCCTTATTTTCAAAGGCTTACACCTGAGGGATTAAGATCTACATTCGTTTAATATCAGGAATAAAGTGGAAGTTCCAGACTGCAAGGCTAAAATTTGAAGAAGGATTTTTGTAGAGATTAATATTTTCCTGAGCAATCTGTGAGCTGAATCATGGTCTAATTAAATACCACAGATTTATTGAGTTTGCATTTAAACATTGGCAGACCCTAGAATGACTACAGCTGAAATGAGTTTGAATCTTTTCTGTAAATGGGGAGTTAAATTATCATAATAATTTGATTACATAATTTTTAAATCTTTCAAGCTAAATCACCATTTAAGAGGAACAGTTTGAAGTCTTAATCATTACTGGAAGTGGCCTTCTCTGTGCTGTTTTTTCTTACCCCATTCCTTGTCACCAAATCTGTTCCCCAGGGCACAGCTTCCTGAACTGCTCCATGAACCTCCATTTGAGGGAGGCAAGCTGGCTGGGCACATTCTTTCCAGCTATTAAATTAATTTCAAAGACAGCAACAAATACATTAAATGCTTTTGTACTATTATTTCTCCATGTAAATAATTACCCTCTTTACCAAAGGGGTAGTACACAATCACCCCTGCCAGGAGAAGGTAAGAGCCCTTGTGTTTGGATGTTTTCCACACAGTGGAAGAGTTTTAAAGCATGAAATGTAATAGCTGTGTCTGAGGGCAGGTTTTGATGAGTTTCTGGGGGGTGTTCTCTTCTTTCCCCCCTCACTCACTTTCATTATAAGTAGTATGTAGAGTGTAGATATTCCTAACGGTGCAGGCCAAATTGCTCTCCAAACTGCAGAGTTTAATATCTTAGGCAAGTTTCACCTCTGTGTGAAAAATACATTTAGTCTAGACTCCATCCATCTATTTGCAAACTTATGGGCACTGTTAAGAAATACTGATTCTGGGAAAAAACAAATCAGTTTTGTAAAGGGTTAAAAACTAAACCTTTATAGTAACATTCTCGGGAAAGACCTGTCTCTTTATGCAGCATGGTGTAAAAAAACGTAATGAGAGCAGTCAGTCTTTGATTCATCAAGGATTTGTTGCAGATAAAATGCTCCTGTTTGGTTCCCCAGCAAATCTGGCCTTGGCACTGTAGATCTGGGAGAGGAGGGAAAGGTGTGTATTTTCTGTACAAACAGCACATGGTTTATGGAAAAATTACTTAGAGTAGAAGATTGTGTGTTCTGTAGCACAGCAGTGAATATCTAAGGACTTGGTAAGGAGTTAGGGAGTGAAGACAACAATGTTTTTGGAGATTGCATTCCAAATTAAGCCTGGTGGCTGGACCCTGTGCTTAAGACATCAGTCACGTCTGTATGTGTGTGTTAGCATGTCTGTATTGATTACATCTGTTTGTAGAACACAGAATTCAGGGCTTTTCTCTTATTGACACAGAATTACTGAACAGAATTACCATATTAGAAAACTATCAAAAATGTATGGATTCAGGGAATGGTCTCACATTAATTAGAACTAAATTTTGCTAGAAGTAATATTTGCCTGTCATCTTTTTCAAAATGTTGTAGCCTACTTTTATCCCTAAGAGAGAGATTTCGGTGTCTGTGCTTTCAGCACAGTGCACCTTGATGTGCAGCCTCACATCCCAGCAGTGTATGTCTTAGCTGCATGCTTCTTAGAGCATGTATTCACTAAGACTCAGAATTATTAAACATGTAAAATTCCCATAGGACTCCATTATGTGTAATTAACAGATAAACTGTCATCAGAATCAATAAAACGTGCTAAATGATCCAAACTTGTATATAATTAAGTGTCTGTTTTAGAGCGGGAGCTGTAACTTTTATTTTTTTTTCCTTTTCAATTTGCACATTTGTTGTGACAATAAGAGCTGGAACATTTTTGTTAACCTGTTACTTACTGGTTTGTGTTTCAGTTTACATGTTTGTATTTGGAAGGAGACAGGTATTTACAATCTGGCTTAATTATGTGAGGAAACAGTTGCATGTCAACTTTTAGGAAATGAGTCTTAAATGCATCTTAATTCTCTGAATGTAATTCATATATTTGAAGCACATGCAAAAGTTGACATTTAATCATCAGCAGGGTAAAACATGAGGCTCTGTCAAATACTGATCCAGAGCATCAGACTGCTGGTTACAGGTCATGGAAACCATGATGGAAGTGGGTTCTTCACCATCAGCTCCTCACTTGTTATTCTGTCTGTGAATAGGGGCTTTACTCTAAACCCAAAAATTAGGATGCAAAGCAGCAGAGTTTTCTCTAAGTAAGGATGTACTTAATTCATGCCATGTCCCAGTTTCACCCTGAGCAAAGCTTGCAGAGTGTGGCCTGTCCCTGGGGCTGGTACCCCCTTGCAGCAGTTGTATTTTCATGTGGTCCTTTATTGGCACTGTAAGTCTGTTTGCCATCCCAGTTTTGGTAGCTGATAGGGGCTGTTTGGTGGCCTCTTTCACCTACGACTGTTTTTCCTTACTTGCACTCACCTCACTTTGGACCACATCAGGGTTTCTTTGGCATTTATGACTACATAAAAGTCAGAGAATTAGGGCTGCTCATCCAAAGTAATCTCAGCATGGTCCAGTAACTGCGTGTTCTCAGGGACATCTTCACTTTCTGTATCTATCCAGTTGAGGGGTTTACAGTTATTTCAGTTAGATATTTTCTCTTTATTTCACACTTCCATTGCTTTAATCTTTTCAGGTCATGTAGCAGTTTAGTTTAGTTCCTGGTGTGTGTTGCGTCTGGGCCTGTCACTCAATACTTACACCATCAAGACATCTCACCTGCAAAGGTGCAGGGCAAGGTGTTTGCTTTGAGTCTTTTATAAAAAATGCAAAACCCCGACACTAACAAGATAAACTGCTGTCTGTGGGGGTGGGAGAGAAGGATTATACACCTTGTAGGAGATGTTAGCTTCACCAAACAAAAGCTGTTCAGGAGCATGCTAAGTGTTGCCTGTCTGAATATGCCTGAGGGAGAAAAATTTTGCTAACTATATAAGGAAAACCCTTCAAATCAATATGTTCCTTGTGTTGATGCAGTGGTCCTAATCTCACAGTCATTGTTTCTGAGAGCTGGTTATGTCCATGGCTTCCAAGTGGATCCAAGGTTCCAAGCCATGGAACCTGATACAGAATTTTGCTGAGCTTTTCCACAGCAGGGCATCCTTGCTTTATCCTTGCTTCCCTGATAGAATGCAGCCCTCCATTCCTTCAGCCCCTTGGTACTGTCTTTCCTTCAAAGCAGTAACCCTACAGATGGTTTGGGGAGCACTGAGGGTGACTGTTTCACTTACTTGAGGAGCATGAGGAGAAGAATTACTTTCCCAAGAGTTAATTGTACGTTTGTAGTTCCTCAGCATTTCAATACATTTTCCTAAAGGTCAATACAGAAATTAATGGGTAATTATCTTCCCTCTTTGTGAAAGAGGATGGGCAGAACCATTGAAAGTATCGTTATCAAACTCCTGGCACACCAGACTGAAACCTCCTGTTGCTCCTTTGTTTTGCAGACTCAATGCACATAGAGGATGTTGAGGCAGTGCAGAAACTTCAGGACGTCTTACATGAGGCTCTGCAGGATTACGAGGCCGGGCAGCACATGGAAGATCCTCGTCGTGCAGGCAAGATGTTGATGACTCTCCCACTTCTGAGGCAAACCTCCACCAAGGCTGTGCAGCATTTCTACAACATCAAACTGGAAGGCAAAGTCCCCATGCACAAACTTTTTTTGGAAATGCTGGAGGCCAAGGTCTGACTAAAGCATCATGGGCTTCCCCATCATGCACGTTTTAAAAAAAAAAAAAAAAAAGAAAAAAAAAAGGGAAAATAAACAGGATAATAATGGCAAAGAAACTTAGTGTTTAATTAAGGAAAAAAATGACTAAATGACTGCACTGATATTTAGCAGCAAGACTGTGAAGCAGCTTTCAACTTTTTCTTCTGTGTCTTTCTGATGCAGTTTTTTCTTTTCCTTTTCCTTTTCTCCCTTTTCCTTTCTGTTCTTTCCTTTCCTTTTTTCCTTTTTCTCTTTTTTGTTTTCCTTTGCTGCTGAACTTTTTAAAAGAGGTCTCTAATTGAAGAGAGATGGAAGCCAGGCCTGCCAAAGGATGGAAATCCATAATATGGATGCCAGTGAACTTATTATGAACCATAATGTCCCCAATGACAAAGGAATCAAAGAGAGAAGCACCGTACCTAGCAGTACAGTACAACACGATGAACTGACTGAATGCAGTATTAGATTTCATAGGAGCAGTCTCTAATTAGACGACTAAAGCGACGATGCATCGGCTGCTTCTTATCATTGCATTTTCCATCTAGATCAGTTACAGCCATTTGATTCCTTAATTGTTTTTTCAAGTCTTCCAGATATTTCTTAGGTTAGCTACGATGTAACTTTTTCAGGGAATAGTTTAAGCTTTATTCATTCATGCAATACTAAAGAGAAAGAAATACTGCATTTTTGTGCTGGCTTGAACAATGATGAACAATAATGAAGGACAAATGAATCCTGAAGGAAGATTTTTTTAAATGTTTTGTTTCTTCTTACTAATGGAGATTTTTTTGTACCAGCTTTACCAGTTTTCAGCCATTTATTAATGTGGGAATTTATCTTACTAAAGCAATAGTCGAAGGGAAGGTGCATATTATCACGGATGCAATTTATGTTGTGTGCCAGTCTGGTCCAAAACATCCAGTTTCTTAACATGAGCTCCAGTTTATAACTAAATGTTCACTGACTCAAAGGATTAGATTACACCTGCAGTATATCCGAGTAGTCTACCATATAAATACTCCATTGTCAAATACCAATCTGTAACCGTGTTAGGAGACAGCGACTGCGCAGGGGCGCGGTCGCCGAGTGATTTCTAACTGCTTCAGTTGCAAGTGAACGAGATACTACTGCCTGTTTGCAAAATTGTAACCTCACACGCAGAAAAACCCTATGAACCAATAGTAGCTTAGAGGCGATGAGGCGAATGCCGCCGTTTGCAAAATTAAGAAATCAGAGTAGTAGACTTCTGACCAAATTGAAGAATTTAACACTTCTATACCTTATTTATTGATTTAGATTTTCGTTTGTAAATGGCGATCCTTAACAAGTAGCTAAACCAGTATATGTGCTTTTCAACCAGTATTGTCACAGCATGAAAGTCAGTCAGTTTCAAGACTGTTACGAGGTGTAATCTAATGTATAAACCGATTAGATGCCCCCAGAAAACTACAGTCGCTAAATAACCAATAAACAATAACCTCCATCAAATGCTATACCAATGTACCAGTGTTAGTAGCTGCTCCCTGTACTATGTGAACATCCTTATTCTATGTACACAGATGTAATTAAAATTGTAATCCTAACAAACAAAAGAAATGTAGTTCAGCTTTTCAATGTTTCATGTTTGCTGTGCTTTTCTGAATTTTTATGTTGCATTCAAAGACTGTTGTCTTGTTCTTCTTGTGGTGTTTGGATTCTTGTGGTGTGTGCTTATAGACACAGGGTAGAATTAGAGACAATATTGGATGTACAATTCCTCAGGAGATTACAGTAGTATATTCTATTCCTTACCGGTAATAAAGTTCTTCCTAGTAATAATTAAGAGATCGAAACTCCAAACAAATACTCGTTATGAACAGATACACACTGAAATCATAATATTTTCAAAACAAGGGATAATTTCTGTAACAGTTTATTATAGAATACCAATGTATAGCTTAGAAATAAAACTTTGAATATTTCAAGATTATAGATAAGTCTAATTTTTAAATGCTGTAAATATAGCTTTTATTCAATCATCTCTCAGATGTTGTTATTAACCCGCTCTGTGTTGTTGCAAAACTTTTTTGGTGCGGACAAGTTTCCAAAACTATTGCTACGTTGTGTGCTTTAAACAAAATAACAATGGGCTGATGCTCTCTCGGCCCTCATGCTAGGGAAAAAGAAAAAAAAAAACTGTGTATCTATCATTAGCTATATGGGACTATATTGTAGATTGTGTTTTCTCAGTAGAGAAGTGACTGTAGTGTGATTCTAGGTAAATCATCATTAGCAATTCATTCAGATGGTCAATAACTTGAAATTTATAGCTGTGATAGGAGTTCAGAAATTGGCACATCCCTTTTGAAAAATGTCAAAAAAAAAATACAACTCCTGGGAAAAAGGTGCTGATTCTATAAGATTATTTATATATGTAAGAGTGCAAAAAAAAAGTTTATTTTCCAGAAAGTTTGTGCAGGGTTTAAGTTGCTACTGTTCAAGTACACTATATATATATAAATATATAATATAAATATTGTTTTTGCTGTATCACATTAAAGAACTTGGGCTTCAGGGTCAACAGCCAATCAACTAGAAGTATACAAAAAACACACTAAAAATGGAGATGTGTTAAAGGCACACGGTGCAAACTTTTGTTTTCATTTTCCGTAATTTTTTGGAGCTGCAAAAGAACAAGTATCTCAAGACTGTAAAACCATTACCTGAAACTTAGCTAAAAAAACTGCACGGGCTTTATAATGTTGTTCATCTTAAACCTTGCTGGAGAAGAGTTCTTTCAAGACCACTTACTTAATGTGAAGTGTTGGGAAAATTTCAAAGGGTGTATGTTTTAGCCATAACAATTTAATTTCTATTTTTGCTTCATTTTTTAATTTTTTCTTATTTAAAGCAATATGATTGTGTAACTCCCAGAAGTTACACATTTGTTTCAATCAGATCAGATTGTTGTATTTATTCCACTATTTTGCATTTAAATGATAACATAAAAAGATATAAAAAATTAAAACTGCTATTTTTCTTATAGAAGAGAAAATGGGTGTTGGTGATTGTATTTTAATTATTTAAGCGTCTCTGTTTACCTGCCTAGGAAAACATTTTACGGCAGTCTTATCGTGCAAAGATCGCAAAAGGACAAAAAAAATTAAACTGCTTATAATAATCCAGGAGTTGCATAATAGCCAGTAGTTAAAAACCGAAACAAAACAACAAATGAAAACAAACATGTCTATAGCTGTAGATGGGCTTCACATCTGTATAGCAATCAACTGTATATTTTTGTGATGTGTATCATACCGTGTGCTCCAACCAATGTCCATTTGTGTAAATGTATTTATTTTATATTGTATATATTGTTAAATGCAAAAAGGAGATATGATTCTGTAACTCCAATCAGTTCAGATGTGTAACTCAAATTATTATGCCTTTCAGGATGATGGTAGAGCAATATTAAACAAGCTTCCACTTTTGATTGCTTTTATTTTATTTTTTGTGTTGTGGGGTTTTTTTGGTTTTGTTTTCTTTTTTGGAGGAGGAGAACAGAGCAATTAGCTTTGCCTTTTGTTACTTCCATTCAAAACGGAGCCAGTGTTTGCACTTCTCCCTTAAAGTACAATATGAGTGTAAATAAATGCTATATAAAGCCTTGTCAGAATGAATTCCAGTGTGGTACAAGACATTTTGCATACTCTTAAATATGCAAAATGTCTCATAGCACATTAGAATTCAGGCTGGCAGGCCTTTATATAGCACTTATTTAATCTTAAAGCATCTACACATCAACCTGCATTACTCAAAAGCATTGCCTCTTTGTCAATGTCTTAAAAGAAAACTTTCCCACTATTTTAAGATCACATTACTATCATATAGAAGTAGTTTTTTGCTTTCACCATCAACAACTGAGTCTATCATTCATTTCCTACTGCAGGAGACTCCTTTAATGTGTTCTGAGTAAAAATAAAAAATAAATTAAGAAAAAGACCCTGTATTATTTGATCCAGTGTTGCTGAATGGAAGTAAGCAGCCCCCAGAGCAGTGATACAGACTGGTGTGAACGAAGACCCCCGAAAGCTGTTGGGGTCCAGGCGGGTTAAACAGCTCAGGGGCAAAGTGGCCATAAATGGGCTCTGGGCCCCATCCCTGTTAGGGGCTGCAGCCCCCCTCGCTCAGGCTCAGCCCCTCTGTCCTGTGGACCCTTCTGGAACCATCACAGAAGTGCTAATGTGTGCTTTTCTTGCTTTTTAGCCTATCTTGATAGTGTTGTCGTGTTCACCAGCGTGTTTCTCACCTTGGCTCCTGGCCATCCTCAGGAGGCTCTGGCTGATGGCACAGGGGCTGCTCGGGGACAGGAGCTGTGTCAGCCACGGCACCGGGGCAGCACCGAGGCCTCTTTGTGCTTCACAGCACAGCGAGAGGCACCCCTGCCCTGCTGCCAGGGCTGTCTGTGCTTTAGCTGTCTTGGGAAACGGGGACTTTTTCTGAGTGGAAGGAGCAGCAGGGCAATAGGAAGATGAATTCTGCGTGGTCTCTGCAAAGATGATCAGAATTGGGCTTTAGTGTTGACACTGCTGTGTACACAGGCATACAGCTATATACACACACAGTGTGCTTGGACAGAACTGCCTTTCCCCATTTTTTAGTATTTTCCCCCCTTTTTATTAGTTTCCTGATTTTTAATTATTGCAAAGTACCTCTTCAAAAGAAAACCTAATACTGCACCTTAAAAGTTAAAAAGGCACTGTTACAAATTTTCACATACAAAAGGAAAATAATCTGTAAGTGGCACTCCTAGACTTCCTCAGCATGTGTTTGACCCTAATCATTGACTAAAGTTTTCACATGCACTTTAAAAAATCATGCTTTCTGTACCATTTTTCATGAGAGGATCATGAAGTACCATATAACAGAAATTGAGCCTCACAGAGAAATAATACAACTCTCAGATGAAGCCTTTTCTAGGGCTCTTGTCTATGCAGGGTTTTTCTCATTTGTTTTTTCTTTATTCTGCCTATGCTGTCTCTGCTGTAAACCCAGGATGGGCACAGAAATCCATTGGAAATGTTTTAGTAGGAATCTCTGGGGAATTTGGGTGAGAGCGCAAACCTTTCTTAACTACAGAAATAGCTACTTAGTCTTTAAAGAAAATTTAAAAAGGGCTTGGGATACTGGCAATTCATAGCTCAGACAACATACTCTGCTGTAGCCCTCAACTGCTGTAGCCGTAACATGTGGCTACTACAACACCACTTGGCTAAAATAAGGCAAATCAAGAGTCTTCCCAGTGGGGGTATGGCTCAGTGAAATCAGTTTTGACTGGTGTGCTTTACATCCTCCTTCACCTCCCTTACTCCACCTGCCCCCTAGGTAAAAGAAGTCATCCCAGTCCGAGTGGGATTTTTCCTCTGGAGGTGTTTGACAGCTACACTGCCCCTCACTGTCTCAGTGGCACCCGTGCCCTCAGCCAGAGCCATTGGTGTTGACCTGAAAGGAAAATGCCACTCCCTGAGCTGGCCACTTACATGGTACGGGGTTTGTGAGGGGCTATGAATTTTCTCTGGAGCTTTGCAGTCAAGTAATGGCATAACTTGATGTCATTTGGGCTCTCTGTTTGGTTGGAGGGGATTTTTTGACCTTATGAGTTCACAGAGTGAGAAGGTCTGGCAAACACCAACTAAAAGTGTCCTTGTGTGGTCCCTGCAGCTGATCCTTTCTCAGGAAATGGCAAGAAAATTCTGTGCCAGTCAGTGCTCTTGCACGTGCAGTTATGTGTGTTTCTTAACAATGCCAGTGCTGAAAGACTAAATATGGATAAAAAACCAAACCACTAAAACTAAAAGGAAGATTTTGAAAGAGAACAGAAAGGGGAATACTGTCCTTAGGCAAGCCCTCATGTTTACATTTTTAAGTGACCTCTAGCATCATTGCCTGGTCATACCCTAGTGGGAAAAAAACCCTACCATAAGCACAAAAACACCTGAAATTTTTTTGTGTACAGGCTTCTGCAAGAGAAAATGCCTCTTTTAAAAATTTTGAACATTACCTGTCCTGAATCTTCACCAAACTCAAGAACAGGACAGCTTCCATCTGTTTTCTACATTTTCTTCTATGGCCTTTATTAGCTTTCCTTAATGGCTTTCTTCACTTGCACCTTTCCTTTCCTTTGCATTTCATCTCTCTTGTGTAATGTAGGTCTCTTGATTTCACATGGCACTTTGCTAATTACTCTATCCTTTGTTATCCAGTCGTAGCTGCCTCACAAGGCAGAGTGTGTTTTCTCTTGCAATGAAAAGCTGATTCCATGTGTCCATAGGTTGTCTTTAACATACAGACCATAAACTTCCTCCTTGGGGTTGTTATTAGAGAAGGGGGAAAAACCCCAAATAACTGTGGCAAAGAATATGGATGCATTTATTTGCTTTTGCCATTTTTATCCCAAAGTGTTTGTGCTGCCACATCCCAGCCATGCTAATCGTTAGTGTTTCGTTAAGATTAAGGGTCGCTGGCTCCTGGTGTTCACATTCCCAAGCTGGCTCCTTACAATCTCCGTTAATATAAAGGAGCAAGTGGCGGTAGATTGATTACATGCAGGCTCTTATTATTAAGCAGAACAGAAAAGAAAGGAATTTCAAAATATAATCCTCTGCTCCCAGGAGTATTTGTCTTGTTCTCCATGAAGTTAAAGGTCTGAAATAATGTGCCCATCAGGAGCTCAATGTTGCATGTCCATGCCAGTTGGTCCAAGGGCTTGTTATGATGGTAATGACCTGCTGAAACGTGAGCTTTGATGGCAACAATACAATTGCTACCAGCTCACCCGCTGGGAGAAATATTTTATTATTGTCAAATGCCCTCCGCAGAGATTTGTTTTGCCTGTTCTTGTTTAAATTAAATTCAGAGCAGAACTGCATTATTATTTCTCTAGAGTATATTTGAAATAAACAACTAGTCTCCAAATTTAGGATTCCTGGTTAGTTTAAATTTTCTTATTAGCAGAAAAATTACAATAGGTGACAACATAGCTGCAGGAATATTATTATGGCAGCCATATGAGAGATTTACACACTGAGAGCATGGCCTAAAAGCACAAAAACTCCCTTCTACTTTACAAATTCCAGCCAAATTAATAATTAACTGTGCCATAAATTCTGCAGCCTTCAAGAATGATGTCAGTGCTCTTCTGTGTCACACTAGAGGAATTTTGTCATAAGACTAAGTGGTGTTCTTTATGAAGAGCGTTACTTATATGTAGAAAGTGGCCCAGGAAAACAGCCCTTGCCACTCCATATTACAGCAGCTCGGTGAACAAGTGACAGCAGGACTTCAGAGTCATTTACTGCTGCTTTCTCAAGGCAAAACTATCTCCTTACGCCTGTGTGAAACAGAGCAAATTTTGTTCCACATTAAATGGGCCAGATTATCTCTTCCACAAGCTAAAGAGACAACACTAAATCCCAGCTCATGTAATTTCCTTCAAAATTGTTCTGCTCGGGCTGGGTGTTCCCAGGAGCGCCACCAGCAGAATTATCCAGCAATTCAGCTGTACTTAAATTGGCAGATGTTGGAGATTTAAGACAGTCCTGGAGCCTTAGCACAAATCCTCCACTTCTGTGCTGCCTCGTGCCTCCTCTCCCTCTCCAGCCCATGCCACAGCGCTGCCCGCTGCCAGCACTAATCCCACGGACTGCCAGGCTGCCAGGCTGTGCCATCCCTGCCTCGTGCAATCCAGCACCCAGAGCTGGGAGGGAGAAGGAGATGTGCTGTGGGTTTGCTTCTCTGCCTGCTTGCAAACAGGCTCTAACCCTGCCCTGTTTGGCATTCCTGGGGCCTGGTTGTGCACTTGTTGTTCGCCTTTCCCCTGTCTCCCAAGTGCTCATGCTGGTGAAAAGCTGCTCCACCTAAAGGCTGGGTGATTTTTGTGCCCTGCTTTGCTGACAGAAGCACTTTTCAGAGAGGCGCTTGAGCAGTGCAGCACAGGCATCTGAGCAAGGGCAGGTGTCAGAATCAGTGGTATTGATGATTCTGAGATTGTAGAAAGTCTCTGTCTTTCTGCCCCGTTGCCAAAGAAGAAGCCATAATTCGTCTGTGCTGGTTTCAAGGTTGTTTATTCTGTTTATCTCTAACATGTTCTGCTGCCCTGCCGCAGCTCTGTCCTGCAGGGCAGCGTGTGGGGCTCTGCCCTCAATGGGATGTTACAAACATTAAATACCAGAAACTACGTGTGCTGTATTTACAATAATGGGCCAATATCTGTCACCTACGTTGAACAGTGTGTCCCCAGCCTAAACCAACAGAAAAATGCCAACACTACAGTGAAACATGGAGGGCATGAAGAAGAAGAAAAAGGACAAGACACACCCAATTTCCTCCATCTTGTCCCCTCTGAACCCCTAATCTAGAAACCTAAAATTTTACTTTTGCATCCATGCCACACTTAATTATTACTCATATCAAACACTCAGAGCTTGTAATT